CGCCCATGCCAGCCACACCCACCCGCCCCCCCAATGGCAACCACGATGCTGATGAAATTGAGTTTGCTTTAAAACATCGATTTGTAAGGAAATCCCTCAGATCCTGTCTATCATGCCTGCTATCCATTTTTCTTAATAAATGTTCCTGTTGGAAGAGACTGTTTCCAAGAGTTCTGCTTTCTTAAGATGTGGATTGAAGTGGTTCCTTACACACACATAAAATCCTTCAACTGCATTTTACAGAAAACCCTGAAACCTTCAAAACAATACCACCATTAAACTATCTTTGAGAATCAAAGAAAACTGCTTGTTCTGTACCAGGAGTGAAGCATAGCATATATGTTTTGCTTCAGCCTCAGAACAATAGCAACAGCATAATTTGAATTGAGCACCCTTTTTCACTTTTTCTGTTAGCCAGTGTACATGCCCTGTTTTGTTTTGTCTTTCAACCTGACATATTAATATAATTATTATAGACTTCATTTCCATTGGCAAGAGGACAATAATTTACCCCCAAAGGACTTTTCAACAAACAGATAGACTATAATTAATTTTTTAATATCATTGTAGCACTATCTAATTATTAAATTACGACTTACATCAAGGCTTTGTTTACGATACGATATGGATTTTAAAAGTTCTCTACCATCCAGATCTAGGCTTGTCCTTGAGGACTTCTCTACCTGGAACACAAATCAAAATCGTACATCATATTTTTGAATAAAATATTCCACACCTAGCTATGAACAGATTCAGTAGAAAATCCTGTAAAAGCAATGTATAGAAAACTAACCACAGATTCAACTACTGCTTGGTCATTATTTGGCAAACTAATACATAGATCCTGATAGGAAGTTAGTTTGAGTATGAGATAGAAAGAGGAATGCAACAGATTCTGCATTCTCTGAATTACATTTTTTTCCTTAGGAGCAATTAGAAAATGGAACATAATATACACATTCATCAAAGTTGTAGCTTTGACTGGAGTTAAATCTATAGTGTTATTACATAGAAAGTATATGTCAATTTTAAGGCACAGAGTGATGAATACATTTGCATGTTCAACTCTACAGAATACGGTGGGAAACTTACTGGAAAAGATATGTAGAATTCCCATCCCAAACAAGCATGTTTGTAGGAATCAGAAGCCAGTCCTGGAATGATTCTCTGTCTCTGATGAAGAACAGAGTCATCATCCTTGCTTCTCCTGAGTTTCAGTTAGAAAAGAACCGACAGGTTTATATTAGGAAGCTTATCACTAAGAGAAATAAACCTCAATCAGTAGTAATCCAGAAGACAAAGCATAAAGATGCTCTTCTACTATGGTACTGTACCCTCAAAAGTTGTGGGTAGGCCATCACTGGAGGCTTTTAAGAAAAGATTGGACTACATTTGTCTGGAACGGTATAGGGCAGTGGTGGCGAACCTATGGCACACGTGCCAGAGGCAGCACTAGGAGCCCTCTCTGTGGGTATGCGTGCCACCACCCACCCCAACCTGGCTGGGCACCCTCCCGGCACATGCACAGGAAATGGCAAGCACTTAGCAGCTGGTGATATGCAGCAGCTGCTGCAGCTCATTTACCTCACCCGCCCCTCCTCTCCCGGCCTCACTCCATCATGCCCAGCCACATCCCACTTGTCCGGGCCTCTCCTCATCCGGCTGTGCTTTGCCGGGCCATGCCTCACCACACCTGGCCCCCCTTTGCAGGGTCTTGCCTCTCGCTTGGGCCATGGTGTTCTGTAAGCCTAGCACCCCAGGGCATGCCCAGCCTGTGGGATGAAAGGCAGGGAGGTGGGAGTGCGTTGGCACAAGCCAAGCATCGGCTGCCTCCCGGTTGTATTCTCTGCCACGTGGTAGGGCCGGAGAAGGGAACACAAAGCACCCAGGCCAATGCAGAGCTGCAACCTAGAAGTGCCAGCAGCTGGCAATGTGTGAGTCTATGTGGCAGCTGGAGAGAAAGGATGAGAAGGACAAGACAGCAGGAAGGGTTTCTGTATGTGTGGCTGTGTGTGTGTGAGAGTGAGAGAGAAGGGGGGTATAAATCCCATGTTGATTCTGTCTTGATTTAAATCTTTCTACTGCCACTTTCTTTCGCAAATGTAGGAAATCCAATTCCTCATGGATTGCTTGCATTGCATCTAATTCCCAGTGTGCAGGCAGGCGAGAGAGCAAACTCGCAGATTGGCTTTGTGGTCTATTCTTGCCGCCTCCCTTCCCTAAAATCCAGCCGATAATAGAATTCTTTGGATTGAATGAGAAGTTAAGAGGAGTTGGCATGAGTTGAAATTAAAAGGCCAAGTCAACTGCCCCGCCCAATTATTTTGTCGGAGATGTGGAAAGTATTTCTCACTTCTACTTCCTCTCATCTGCTCTTTTATAATTTAATCCAGCCTTAGCCAAACTAATGTCTTTTGGATGTCATGGACCACAGTTTCCATCATCCTGTGGCCTTTCTGGCTAGAAATGCAATGCCTTATTTTCTCTGCAATATTTGTTTAGGAGGCAGTAGGTCTGTGGGATTTAGATGTACTTAAACATTTTTTTCTTCTGCCTATTTATTAAATCAACGTCTAATTCAAAATTAAATGTTTCTGAGAAATCCAGGGTGGTTTACAAAAAAACTCTCAAGGACAGCTATTGTAAAGTATCACCAGCATTGCTTAAAACAATATTAAAAGTATGTATTTTAAGAAAGAAAAATAGTAGTAGTAATTTACTTAGTGCTGTTTGAACATAAAATATGGTGTTGTTCTACATATGCCTGGCTGAACAGTGTGTTTGGAGTTGCCTCTAAATGGGTGAGGGATGCACTGTTCATATTTTCCTTGGGAGAAAGTTCTATAATTGGCTCTGCTCATGGCCACTGTTCTATAAACCAAACCAGAGGGACCATCTAGTTTAAATGGATGGTAAACAAAGGATGATTAGGGGGTTGGAAACTAAAACATATGACAAATGTTTGTGGGAATTGGGTATGTCTAGCTTAATGAAAAGGATTGGGGTGGTGACATGATAGCAGTGTTCCAATATTTGATGGGCTGCCACAGAGAAGAAGGGGTCAACCTATTTTCCAAAGCATCAGAAGGCAATAATAGATGTAAACTAATCAAGAAAAAAACCAGCCTAGAACTAAGGACTTGTGAAAACAACTAACCAGTAAAAAGGCTTGCCTTCAGAAGTTGTGGATGCTCCATCACTGGAGGCTTTTAAGAAGGGATTGGATATTCCATTGTCTGGAATGGTATAGGTCAGTGGTGGCGAACCTATGGTAAGCGTGCCAGAGGCGGCACATGGAACCCTCTCTGTGGGCACACGTGCCGTTGCCCCAGCCCTGCCTCCCCCCATGGCCCCTTCCTCCCCAGCAGCCCCCCTGGAGGAGAGTCACCCCCGAGTGTGGCCCATGCGGAGCAGCACAGCCAAGGACATGGCAGCCAGGCAGCGTAGAAAAGACTCTGCTGTCATGCCCCATCACACACAGTTGATGCTGCAGGGCACGGGCAGAGGGTGTGGCTTTCATGGCACTGCTGGGCTGCCTGGGCGATCTGCAGCGGGCCCTGGAGGCGGTGAGTGGCCATGCGGGCAGGTGGGGTGGGGGTGGGGCAGGGGGTGGAGCAAGGGTGGGGTCAGTTTTGGGCACTCGGTCTCTAAAAGGTTCATCATCAGTGGCATAGACTTTCTGTCAGTGTCAGAATCCAGTTATATTTCCTTTCTATATATCTCTGATATAAAACCAATTCTTACCCTCTCCTGGATCCTGCCATACTCCTAAGGGGGAGGGGGGTATGCATGCAGGCTTTATTACTTTCACTTCCTCTATTCACTACAAAGTAACCTTTTGTTTATTCACTTTCAGGTATGCTAACCATCACAATGTAACCATTTGCCTTTCATCCTATGCCCCTCTGAACTTCTCCTCCTTACCAGCCAACTAGGGAAAGGGGTGGGGTGAAAAGACACAGCCTCCAGGATCTGGTTTATTTATCCATCGCCAAAATAAGGTGTGATGAGCTGTTGAATGTTGGTGCACAACTGAACCAAATTGATGTTATATTTCCTGGAATTAACATCTAGAAATCTGCTGGTCTGAATCGCCGGAAGAACTGCGAGGTGGAGGTTGCTTAGAACACTTTAAAACATCAATTTGTAAGGAAATACCTCAGATTTTCTGTCTATCATGCCTGCTATCAATTTTTCTTAATAAAAGTTCCTGTTGGAAGAAACCATTTCCAAGAGTTCTGCTTTCTTAAGATGTGGATTGAAGTGGTTCCTTACATTAGACAGGATCTGCAGTTATAGTCAACCTGGAAGAAAGAACCTTGCCAGGGGACTTTGCAAAAAATAAAATGTCAGATGACAAGGCAGGGAAGGGAGAAAACCACACGGAGAGGGAGCCATCCCCCCGACCAAAAACCTGCCAGCTGTCGGGATCTGAAATGTCATATTCCTCAGGAGAAGAGGTGGTGGAGACGCATATTCACAAACCTCGGTGGTCAATGGGCGTTGGAAAGAAAGGCGAGTGGGAAAAGAGACTGAGAAAGGTGACCCTGTAACAGGGCGGCCACCAACCAGAATGGAAGCAGGAGATGGAGAAATCCCTGCACATTAGGGAAGAGGAAGGAAGTTGGGCACAACACTCAAACTAGATCCTAGAGAAAGCTATTGACCTGATGAAAGGAACCATCGGCTCTCTAGGGGAGGAGAATTCTGAGCCCCAAGACCACACCAGTGCCTGGAGCTGCAGCTGGAGAGACATTGAGGGGGAATTGGAACCTGTAGTCCCGGGGACGTCCGCTGATCCAGTAGCAACCACTTCAGCAGCTCCCATTCCCCGCCGACACGCAGATGGCGATCAGGATGGAAGACAATACTACCGACTGCGAAGGCACCAATCCATTCAAAGACTCCCGCCGCTAGACGCGAAATTCAAGGGGGAGCCAACACGCTTGGGGTTTTTCCTAACCCAAGTCCTCAGCTACATGGAAGAATATGGGCGGCACATCCCTAGTGACAAAGCCCGTATCCGTATCGTGCAATCTGCTCTGGACGGACCAGCCGCAGATTGGGTGGTGAACTTGCATGATTCCGATGCCCCAGAGCTCAACAAGTTCAACCATTTCATGTCCTCTCTGAGAAGGCGATTCGAGGACTCCCTGGCTGATCACAAAGCCCGCAAAAGAATCAAAACATGAGGTAAGGCAGATGCCCGGTAGCCGAATATACGCAAGAATTCCGGACCATTGCCAGCAAACTGAACTGGCTGGAAGACATCCTCCTTAGCCATTTCAAAGATGGCCTAAATTACGACCTGTATGATGCTTGCCTGCCCTGGGGGGACTCACACCAAGTCGATGAATGGAACATCATGGCAGAAGAAGCAGAGATCAACCTACTGAAAAGGCACAGCTGAGGAAAACCATGGGGCCATTCACCGCCTGAGCCGACGCGCGAGCCAGCGAAGCCACCGGCTATGGCCAAGAAACCAACGGGCTGTTTCAAATGCAGGAGAGAGGGGCGTCAGGCCACAGAATGCCACTCGAAAGCCCCTCAGCACAATGCAGACCGATCACCCACCAGGAAATCCAGGAAGTCCCCAGCCAAGCCAAAAGAACCTGCCATGAGAGCGATAGAGGCTGTGGAGCCTCCAGGCTCTGCCCAACATGGGAAGGGAACTCCAGCCTAC